GGGCTTGGCGCTCGGCGCCGCGCCTTTTGGCCGCGCTCGCCTGATTGTTGCCGCCTCCCCCTCCCCCTTCCGGGTACCTGAGCGGCGCGGCGCCAGAGCAGTTCCCGCGGGGACGCGGGCGCGGACGCGGGAAGCCTAGGCGGGGTGGCGCGGGGCGGCGCGGGGCGGCGCGGGGCGGAGCGCTCTGCGCTGGGGAGCTCTTTTGTTATGCGGCTGGCGGCGCCGCGGGACGCGGGACGCGGGCATAGCTCGGAGAGAGCCGAGCAGATGGAGACTGGAAAACCGATCCGTGGGTGTTCGATGCTGCGGCCGCCGCCCTGCCCCCAGCAACCTGCGGGAGCCAAGCTGCCCGGACCTGCCGGGGCAGACTTAACGCCGCGCGCTGGTGACACGTGAACCATGGTTACCTCTTAGGCTGGGAGCAGATGGCATGTCCGTTAGCCCTGGAAACGACCCTGGAAAGCCAAACCAAGTGGCTTGTTTTCCAACTTTATTTTACACCCTCCCCCCTTCCAAGTTTGGAACTTGTTCCCTTCTCAGAACATTGCAAATCACTGGGGATGGCTTATTAAATAATTCCTTATAAGAAAGATTCTTTCGGGGGAACAGTCAAGAATATTTCCTGAATATTGCTGATTTGTATTAAATGTTTCACTTCCTTCAGCTTTAGTTTCTTATTTAAAATAAGAACATAGAGACATTTGTTTTTGTCCCCCTTAAATAAGCTTTTTAGAGCAGCTTTAGATTTGCAGAAAAATTGGAAAGATACTTCAAGGAGTTTGAATCGACCTAGCACCCAGTTTCAATCACTATTATATAACTATAGGACGTTTGTTAAAATCATTACTAATTAAGGTTTTCTTTTTATCTACTGCTTTCCCTTCTGTTCCAGAACACGCTATTGTCTCTAGGCTTCTGACAGTTTCGTCTACTTTCCTCATTTTTGATAATCTCTGCGCTTTCCAGGAGATATTTTGTAGGGTTTCCTCAACTGGAGTTCGAAACGGACTTCTTTAAAGCATGCCTCCCAGCATTTGAGTAACTTCGCTGCAAAGCGCTGTCTCATGCTTTCCGTACCAAGGCTCCACCCTTCATCTCGAAGCTCTTAAATGTGTACAGTGAGCCATCGGCAGAATTCAGAATGTTCAGTCGAGTCCTTCATTTTTAACTCTGGGTTGCTGCTAAATGCAGCCTAAAAATGACCACCAGGCCATGCGTTAGAAAAGACAACAATCAGCATGAAGAAAAGAAACAATAGCAGCAAAAACATTTGTATGAGGAATAACAATTTGAAGGGTAGGGGGATGACTCAGCCAATAAAGTGCTTGCCCAGTCAATAAGGTGAGTTAGATCACCAGTGCCCACACCCAATTTGATCTCCTGTACTCTCCTATAAAAGCTGAGTGTGGTGGCACAGGGAGGAATAGACAGACTGATCCCTGAGATTTACTGGTTTGTCAATCTAGCCTATCAGTGAGCTCCAGGCCAAAGAGAGACTCTGTCTTAAAAATAAGGTGAGAGGCTGGGGAATGACTCAAATGACTCAGTGAACTAAATAAGCCCGAGGATGGGAGTTGAGATCCCCAGCACCCATGTAAATAGCTGGGGGTGTGCCCCTGAAACTCAAGCAGGGGGTATGTGTGGGGGGGGCAGGTGACGGGGTCGAAATAGACTGATCCCTGAAACTCATTGGCCAATCGTCATAACCTACCTGATGAGCTGCAGGTTCAGTGATCCACCCTATTTCAAGGAATGAAATAACTAGCCAAGTAAATGTGGAGAGCTATTGAGGAAAGACACCCCGTGTCTGCCTCCACACTGGCATGCACATGTGGACACATAAATGGGGACTGAAGAGATGGCTCAGGGGTTAAGACCACTTGCTTCTCTTGCAGAAGGTTGGAGTTCAGTTCCCTGCATCCAAGTCTAGCAGCTTCCACCTGCCTATAACTCCAGTTCCAGGGGGATCTGGCACTCTCTTCTGGCATCCTCAGGCACTTACACTCAGGTGCACAAACATTAAACAGAAATCTTTAGAAATTAAAATAAATAGCAACAAAGACAACAAAATCAAACTGGATGGCCCCTAAGAAACCATGCTCACGATTGTCCTCTGGCTCCCATACTGGTGCACACCAGTACACTCATGTGCACCTATACACATGGTGAACATGCATGCATATAAACACAAAAAGAAGGATTTGAACTGAAATCTGTTTTGTAGATTAGAGAAGCACAGAGATGTATAAAGAACCAAATTGAAATTCACTAAAGTTTTTCCTTATGTAGATGAGGGTTTTTTTCCCCCATTAGTTTCCTGTGGCTACTATAATAAATTAACCAAAAAGTGATTGATTTGAAAGGAAAGATGTTCAGGACCAGCAAGATGGCTCAGTGGCAAAACTAGTTCACATGCCAAGGGGTATGGGGTGAATGTCATGGGGTCCCACGTTAAGATGAAGAGCTACAGGCAATCAATGGATACTAAGGGAGGGAGAATCAGTTTTCTCCAGCAACTAGCTCCCTGAGAGGTTATTTGACCCCAAACGGACATCCCTAAACAGAGGTACACACAAGCACCATAAATGGACTCAATGCATTTTATATATCTATATCTATATATACACATATATATGTATGTATGTATATATATATGACAATAATCAAGAGGGCAAATTGAGAGGGAGTGAGGGAACATGGGAGGAGTTGGGGGACCTGGAGGGATGGAAATAATGCAAAGACAATACACGTAAGGGTAAATTCTCAAAAACCGAAAAAACCAAAAACCAAAAACCAAAATAAAAATGAACTTTCCACCAAGCTTGATCACCTGAATTCGATCCCTAGGACCCATACCGAGGAAGGAGAGACCCAACCAACTGTAACGAGTTGTCTTCTGACCTCCATATATGTACCCCTAACCACCCCCCATAAAAATAAATGAAAATTCAATTTAAAGAAACATTAAAAAAGAACAGAAGTTAATCTTCTTAGAACTCAGGTGGTCTTAGGTCCAAAGGAAAAGTGTTGACAGGGCCACACTCCATCTGGGGATCTAGAGAATCTGTCCTTTCCCTCTTCTAGCTTCTGGTGGTGATCAGCAGTGCTTGGCTTGTGGCTATCTCCTTCAGTCTTTGCCTTCATGGTCACATTTCCTCTTTTTTTTTTTTTAGTTTTTTAGAAGAAGCATTTCATTATGGCTTTAACACACTCAATAACAGTTTCCAGAGCAAAGACACATTTCTTTCAAAAGTGGCTATAAAATTTTTAGGTTTGCTGTTGAATTAATACAGTTATACAATATTGAACTCAGTATAAGCTCTGTAAGACCAAAGGAGACATTTCCTCTTTGGTTCACTAAATCTCCCCTATATGTGTCTCATAAGGACACATGCTGTTGGAGTATGTCCTACACAGATAATCTAAGATGATCTTGTTGCAAGATCCTTTATTATATCAGCAAATAAAGGCAATGCTCCCAAATAAGGAGCTCAGGAGATGGACAAACATTTTGTGGGAACCATCACCCAAACCCAAAGACCAAAATTCAAATGATTAAAGTCTATTCATTTCTCAGATATTTCAAAATACACGTGCTTGCTTCTTTGAGATTAGAAGGTTTTGTGTCATAGCCTCCCTCCCCACCTCTCTCTCTCCCCCTCTCTCTCTTTCTCTCTCTAAAAAACATTTGATACCAGGCATGGTGGTGCATGCCTTTAGTTCCAGCATCAGTTAATGTAGACATTTGCCATTTTATTGATTGTTAAAATAAGAAAGATCTGGCCAGGCGTGGTGGCACATGCCTTTAATCCCAACACTTGGGAGGCAGAGGCAGGTGGAGCTCTGTGAGTTCAAGAAGGCCAGCCTGGTCTACATAGTGAGTTCCAGGACAGCTGGGGCTACAGGGAGACCCTGTCTCAACCCCCGCCCCCCAAAAAGAAAGATCTTAGATTTGGAGAAAAATTGTAAAAACTGTGATAGACAAATTCAGAGACATTTTTCTAACACATTTATTAAAATAGACTTTTGATCAGCCCTGCCATGTGGCTTCTCCATGTATCCTGACCTTCTCTACAATCTGGGAGGTCCAGGTAGTTGGACTTCTATGGTGCCCCCCACCCCCGGCCCCCGGGATCCAAAATGAGTGGCTTAGCTTGCAAAAGTGGATAGCCTAAGAACCAGGAGAGCACCAATTTCGCAAATTTTTTTTTTTAGATGAAGTTGACAGAAATCCATCCGTATTCAAGAGGAAAGGACATATATTCCACTTCACAATGGGAGAAATAGTGAAGAATATGGTGCTGTATTTTAGAGCTGCCATATCAGGTTTTATGGCAGTTGAAGTATATTACAGTGCTTCTTCATTTGTAATGAAAGTCCTTGATTTTGGAACGACCTGGCAGCAATTCCCAGGGAACCCTGGATGTGCTAAGCTTGTGGTTCTCAACCTTGTTTGTGCTTTAGAGTCACTTCAGAAGCCATTTCAACATTCCAATACTTGAACCCCATCCAAGATATTTCTCCCTTATTGATCTGGTATTGGATTTGAGTCTTAAGTATTTTTAAATGCTTAGTGCCTCTTCTTTAGTATCATCGTAGTTATATGTGTTATTATTCGTTCCTGTGGGACCTTTTGATTCAGTGGTTGAGGAGGGCCCTCAGTTAAGTTGATGTGCTACTTCTGAAGTGGATGTAGATGTTTAAGGGGCCTTTCTGGCTCATGGTGGTGTCACTGGGTTTTGGAAGGAGTCGAAGTTTGCG